CTCCCGGGCGGCTCCAAGACGTTTCTTCAGGTGGCTTCCGAAAGGCGCTCAGAGCGAAAGGCCTGCCAAAGTCTTCACTGTCGGCCCCTGCCGCCATCGCTGTCACCCCCTTCACCCCCTTTTTCTCCTGCTCCTCCCGTAGCCTCTTTGGCTCCAGGTGCCACTTGGGGCTGATGCAGTACCGCAGTGCTTTGCCCGCGCCCCTGCACCCGTGCCATCGCGGCGCTCCTTCACATTTGAACCTTGTTTCGCCTCGCTTGCTAAGAATCTGATGCGTGCACTTCCTTATCGGCCTGCGCGAGCGGCAGCGGTGGAAATGATAGGCACGCGCAATGATAGGCACGCGCACCGTTTTCCCCCCGAACCTTTCAAGGCACACGGCAAATCCAGACGACACAACATCAGAGACAACGTCACAGGCATGCTTGACTGTAACAGTGGAGGAGGAGGAGGTACGATTTCCCTCTTCATTCTCCCCCTCCCCCTCGTCCTCGTCCTTCTCCACTAGCTCCTCTGCCTCATCCTCATCCTACGGCAGGCTCAGCAGTTCCACTCCAGGGTGTGCTCAAGCTGACTCCGAGCTTCGGCTTAACAACTGGCACACATGTCTGTACCACTGCATGCTCCTAGACTTCCCTGATCAGGGTAACTCGCCTGGCGATCGATTCTGGATGGACTGTTGGAGATACGTGAAGCTTCAAGAACTTTGCCTGGGGCATTGGAAGCCAACCATGGGTGTGCCTGTTCGGTCGGTGATCAACTTCGAGCTGCTTGGGCATATGCCCGTACTGCAAAACATACACATACGATTTCCTATTCTGCATGTTATGCTAGTCTCCGCATCCCAGGAACGATTGCGACGTCAGAAGAGATTTTTCGCCCAACATAGACACAACATGGGCACAAATGCGTTCGAGGACTTCAGCGCACGATTGGGGAAAAAACTCACTGGACAGGAGGATGTAAGGGCGGGTCGAGGCGGGGGGCGTTGTGAGGTGGAAAGGGATGAACTTTGCCCTAGCAACGCTTGCGCACCGGTCACGTCGGATGATAATGTGAAACGTGATCGCCTGACCAGGCAATGAATCCAAAGCGACCCAGGGACTATATCAACATGCGCATCGCTCACAACTTTGCGTCGTCGAGCTTCGCCAGGAACTCATTGGCGGCTTGGGTGTCCAAGCGGTAGTTCTTCTTGTGTGGTACCACGACCCCGCAGGTGGGTCTAGCAAAGTGAGTGCCAAAGACCAAAGTCTTCGTGCCACAGAACTCGCTCAAGAGCTCCTCGCGAGTACGTGTCGCCTGGGCTGGATCTGTGTCTGCGCGCGAGCTAATGGCCGTCTCCGTGAACTGAATGGGGTGATGGAAGCAATCGCCAGTTACGATTGCTTTCGTACCCATGGACTCGATCATCAACGATGTATGTCCAGGTGTGTGCCCCAGGGTTGGCCGAATGTAAATCCGCCGACCCTGTCGGCGTGTGGAAGATGCTGTTCTGTTTGACTCGACGTCGTCGTCGCCGTCGCGTTTTACCCCCCTTGCCCTGGACCCGTCGCCGCTATCCCCCTCCTTCCACTGGGCCCTCATCCTCAGGCTCGCCAGCCAAAGCGAAACCAAAGCGAAATAGAGCAACGTCGCAGTTGAGCCGAAGAGAAACCCCTTCCCTTTGATCCCTTCCCCCCCTGGGGGGGGTCCCGGAGGGGGTCCCGGGGGTGGGGCCTGGGTCAGAATGCCATTCTCCCCGGGGCGTCCTGAAGCCCCAAAACGCTCAAAAACAGCCCAGGAGGTGCCCAAGACGGTCCAAGAGGGCTCCGAATCGCCGAACAATCGGTCCAAGATGCCAGGGATGGCCGCTTGACAGCCCAAGCGGCTGCCAAGACGCTCGAAGAGGCCTGCAAGAGCGCACCACGAAGGCTCCAACAGATAAAACTAACATGCGGTATTTCTTTAGTTTTTGAAAGCTTCTAGCGCTCTCGCCTTTTCGGCTTCCCGACGCCCCATTACCGCTCAAGATGCCACCAAGATCGGCACAAGAGGCCCCCAAGAGGTTCACAAGACGGCCCCAAGACGACCCTAGAGGACCCTAGAGGACTCCCAAACGGCCCAACCGGCTCCCCAAACGGCTCCAAGGGGGTGCCCACACGTGAGCCCGAACGAACTTTTCGAGTTTCGGCCCCGAGAAGCTTTCATGAGGCCCCCACGAGGCCCCAAGAGGCCTCCAAGAGACCCCCAAGAGGCCCCCAAGAAGCCCGAAGGGATCCCCAAGAGGCTCCCGAGAGGCTGCCAAGAGGCCCCAAACCTGCACCCCAGAGGCCTACGAGCGCGCTCCGAAGAGGCCCCATGAAGCATCCCTGAGGACTCTGCCCCACGTCAGCGTCGTCGTCGACGCCGACGCCGCCGTCGTGGTCGTCGACCTCCTTCAGGGTCGGCGGCACAGGCCGTAAGGCCTTCGCAATACTTGTGCCCATACTATCGTTGAAAATTACGTGGTCAAATTCTACCAACTCTTGCAATCCCGCGTCAACGACTGGCAAGATAGAATCAGCAAGCTCCTCCTCAATACCTGGTTCGGACCCCCCTTCGCCAGACAACCCCCCTTGCGACCAATACTCGAACTCCGTCTTACCAAAGAGATACTTCGCATTTGGAAATGTCGGCACCCACTTGTTGCCAACCTTTCTTGTGTTCCATCCTATGTGGTCTGTGTGTAGGTGCGTGCAGTAGACATGCGTGACAGATTCTGGCGAGATTCCAGCCTTGACGAGATGCTCCAAAAACGGACCAGTCCTCATGTCCCAGTTCGGCAAGGGCCGCTTCTTGTCGTTGCCAACGCACGTGTCGATGGCGATGCGAACGCCAGGTGCATCGACGACCATCAGCTGAACTGCGAATTTCATGCGGCCTCCCTCGTCAGAGAAATCAGGACAGAGCCATTCTACAGACTTGGCGATGTCCTTCGTTGCAGCTGGCATTATCCACTGCTGGCCACCTGACATCTCCATCTCAATGATACGTGTCAGCTTTACTTTACCGACTCGCCACGTTTGGGGCGCCCCGTCGGGCGTCTCGACCATCGCCTCCGAAGACGAAACAACACAACACCAACCTGCTTGCCGACGCGACAGAATGCCTAAGCCAAAGTAATTACGGAATGGCGAAGGATGTGAAGGCATGTGAGGATGAGAAGGAGAACGGGAAGGCGAGGGGGAGGCGGATGAGGAAGGGCAGGGAGAAGAAGGGACAATTGTAAACCCAAGTTGTTTCGGCGATGCTGTACAACATGTCCTCCTGTCCCAAATTCCCTCCTCCGTAGTCCCTGGAAGCATTCTTTGCCACTGCCCGAAACGCCCCACATTTTTTGAAAGACGATCGCCCCCATGGGCCCGTTTGGGGCGCTCTGGGGGCTCTCTTGGAGGCCTCCCGTGTCCCCCTTGGGGCTCCCCCGGGAGCCTCTTGGGGCTGCGTGGAGCCCTGCTTGGGCCGTCTTGTCGCCCGCTTGGGCCTTCTTGTGGCCCGCTTGGGCCAACTTGCGGCCAACTTATGCCCTCCTCCTCCGGTGCCCAAGCCAGAGCGGCCTGACTCGACCGAAGCTTACACAGAAGCTGTGGTAAGCGGTCCCGCGGAGAAGATTCAAGGGGTCGGCGGATGTGGCGCAAGTCTATTAAATCCACGTGACGTGTTGCCGGAGGCAGGTCGCGCAGCGGAGCGGAAGCCCTAATGCCATGTATCCAATGTATCCAATGACTGCATACTTGCCACATATTGTATTGCGTTACATTATTATGTCTCACCTCTAACCACCCCCCAGGGGCCACGCTCCATCCGTCGACCAATCGTGGTGAACCGCTTCTGGGCCTCCACACGCACAACACATTTAAAATTCGGGGCCTTCCACGACGTCCCAGGATGGCCCCAAGAGGACCCCCGAAAGCGCCTCCAGAAGCGAAACACATATATTTTCATTTTTCTTTTGGGGGGGGGGATTTTAGCGTTTTCGCCTCGTTCGTCTCTCAGAGGCCCCTAACGGCCCAAGCAGCCTTCCAGGGGGCCCCAAGGCGGCCCAAAGGACGGTCTCCGAAGGGGCCACAGGGCGCAAAAGCGCCCCGAGCCGCCAAAGACGCCCTCGAGAGGCCGCGAGAGGTCCCAAACAAGCCCCAGGAGGCCCCAATACGCTCTCAAGAGGCTTCCAAAAGGCACCAAAAAGGCTCCCACCAAGTTCTGCAACGACTGGACTGCACGTGCTCCGGACGTGCACCCCGCGAAGCGAGAGGAATCATTGACTTTCATGATGTGTTGAATGGCTTTAGCGATCCTGCCTTCTCGGGTTTCTGAAACCCAAGACGGCCCAAGAAGCCCCCAAGATGACGAACAATGCCGTCAAGAGAGCGCAAGAGGGGCCCAAGAGAGGCCTAAGAGAGGAAACTCACAAGGACACCTGGAGCTTTCCTCCGTAATATGGCCCCCAAGAGGGCTCCCTAACGCACTGAAGACTCTCGAAGGCGTCGCCCCCTAGGCATCCGACACGCCCAAAAGACGCCCAGCAGTGGACGTGGGGGAACAAGATAAGGAGTAACGACAAATAACGCATACGAGACCAAAGCCGCACACCTCCTCTTCTGAGGATCGGCGGAACCGCGTCTGCTGCCTGCGGAGAGAGCGAAATCTTGCTTGTACCGCAAGGCCAATCTTTTTGCGACATAGCGGGCGATCTTGCTGCAGCGAAGGCCCCACGGGACCTAGCGATTCCATGCCTATATTATGCGCCACCAGGCAGCACGCCGAGTACCAACAATTTTGCACCTTCCATTCTGACAACGAGGCGACCCCTTGAGCTGGCAGTCCAAACAGACAGCGATCAATTTCTTCGACAGCTCTGAGGCTTGGTAGTGCCACGCAGTTTGAAGGCGAAGCGAACATCGGTTCTCGATCTCCCCTTGCCTCTTGTCAACAGTTGCCACCTGCTCAAGTCCCGAACAACGTCCTCACTAGCAGCCCGCACCTCAGCGTTTCAAACCGCACCCAAGCTCGGCGAAACTGGTGAAGGCGGGAGATCGTGTGCCCAATAAGCAGCGCCCCCGCTTCAGGCGCATCGGCCTCAGGGTCGCCGAAGCCGACTGCGCCCAGAGATCAATGCTTCTGCCGAGGAGACATAAGACTCAAATTTTTGGGACTCGAGCTTGCTCGACACGAGGCCGCCAGTATGACAACACCCAATCTGAAGTTTGGCGCGACATCCAGCTGCAGACATCTCACGAGCCGTGAGCCGTCAAAATGCGCGCTGGAACCGTCAAAAAGCGGTTAGTCCGAGTTCCGGCAAACTCGAGTCTTACGTTTCCCCGATTCTGTTTTGTTCTGCACGGCCGGTGGCGCAGGACGAGCAGGAGAGCCACGCTGCACATGAGGGCAACCACCAGGCACGAGTAGCCAACGCCAGCGGGGCCCAGGGGCTCGGTGGGGGCGTCGGGGGTGGTGGCGGGGACACGGGAATCGGTCGCCATCTTCTCGAACATAGCCTGCTGGCGCTTCTTCAGGGCGTCTGGAAGCGCCTCCGACAGCCCCGTCGCCGTCATCAGCGACGTCTTCCAGCTGCGGCTGCCTTCGAGGATGTCCAGCATCTCGATGTGCGCCGTGAGGGCGACGTATTCCGACATCTTGACGCGCAGAACGGACAGCGCCACAAAGGACCCCCCCGCGAGTTCCGCGCTGAGGTCCCTGTCTGCCGAGCAGTCGGTGTCCTCATCACCATCACCATCACAATCACTATCACCATCGCCATCATCATCATCATCATCATCATCATCATCATCATCATCATCATCATCATCATCATCATCATCATCATCATCTCATCATCATCATCATCGTCATCATCACGTTTACCACCAGCATAAGTATCATCGTCACAACCGTCGTCAGCACCCTTCTCACCATCAACCTCACCATCCTCATCATCATGATCGACACCATCATCACCACCGCCATCACCATCACCATCACCATCATCATCAGCATCAACATCAGCATCATCAGCAATCTCATCACCCACATCAGCATCATCATCGTCGTCATTATCATCACTTCACCTTCCTCCTCCGCCTCATGGTGTCCTCGCTTGCGGTCCCGTACTCGCTGCGGCAGCTCGGCAGCGGGGTCCACCACACTGGGGTCTTCGGATTCCGCTCGCGGTTGGCGCGCCAGGCCTCCCGCAGGGGCGCCAGCGAGGCGTCGCCGTCGTAGCGCCGCAGGTGGAACTCCAGGTGCCGCCGCAGCTCCCGCTGCCAGCTGGCGTTGTGGGCGGCCGCAAAGGCCGCGAGGCCGCCGTGGAGGTTCCTGGGGCCCATGCCCTCGAGCACGACCACCGTCCTCAGCTTGAGGACCTGCGTCCTCTCGCCGATCTCGAAGCCGGGGGCGCGCAGGGAGCCGTCGGGCGCCTCCTCCATGAAGCCGCCACCGTGTCCTTGGCACGCCAGGGCGTGCAGAGAAGGCCCCCCCGGGCTGTCCGGTACGGGTTCGGAACTCTGCAGTCCGCGACCCCCGCCCGTCGCCGCAGCACGCCCTGGAATGCTGCCTGCCACTGCCCGCTCCCAGAAGATCAGGAGGCGGCACGACGACAACTCGTGGGAGTTCCGCGAGGACCTCTCGGATCGGCGCTGGACCCCCAGAGGCGTCGCCAGGGGGGCCCAGCGCCGATCTAAGAAATCCGCGCGTACTTCCAAGAGCTTCTGCTAATGCCATTTCTTGCTCTTCGACTGCCTCAACCAGCTCCTCCCTGGCGTTCTTCTCGGCCTCAAAACCATGCCGGGACGCCTCCGAGACGACCCAGCAGAGCCACATTCTTGACGGCTCCACGACCACCCCAGACACCTCCCGAGAGCTCACTCTAGAACCCCAAACAGCCCAAGAAAGGCTTCAATCATCCTCCAAGAGGCCCTCACGAGTCACTAATAAGCTTTCCAGAGGCCCTTCAGAGGGCATGTGCAAGGCCAAACACGCATGCTCGAACGACCCAAACCAATCTCGATGCTGCGCTGGCACTGTGGTGGGACTTGCCGCAGGCAGCTGGATAGCTCGAAACTGTACGCGGGCTCCCAGTATGGAGCGTTTGTAAAGCCATAATGAGCCATCATCTCTGCGTTACTCTTGTCTTCGCCATATGACACCAAAATTTCTTCCCCCTCCTCGATGGCCCTCGCAGCCGACACGACGAAGTAACCAGGCGGGCCCTGCTTGTACGTCCAGCGGGCATTGTTGTGGAACTGATGGTTGAACAAATCGCCTCCAGGCACTAGCCCCCTGCCATCTTTATTGTCGGTGCCGTGCACGCGTGATATTAAACACCAATTGGCGTGCAGGTACGAGCTGCGGTTGAGCCACATCCGGGAATCTCTGCCCGAAGCGTCCAAGGAAGCCTGAGCCCACCTGTTCTGGTAGAGGGCCAACTCCCGCAAAGGCGACTGCTGGAACGCGTCGACAAAGTCTGGCATCTGCTGCCACGACCCGAGGGCCCTCAGCTTTTCGAGGTACGGCTGCCAACGAGCCCGCACCTCGGCGTCGCCAGAGCCGTCGAACAGCCGCGACAGCTGGACGGAAGCAACCTGCGTGCCCGTCGGGAAATTGTCCGGGATCGACCTTAGCAGGTCCGCGGGGACGTCCGGCGACGACTCGTGGTCCAAGTCCACGGGCAAGATCATCGCAGCGGGAACCCGGAGCAACTCCACGTCCCTCTCGATGCTGCGCATGGCCTTCATGCCCCACAGGCCCCCATCGCCGATGGGCGCGGGGGCCATGCCCTCGTACACCTGGGGCCGTTGGGGGGGTTCTGGGGGCGTCCCCGGGGGGAGCGGGTCCTGGAGCTCCCCCTTGGGGCTGTGTCCAGGACCCCGTCTTCGCCCCGAGCGCAGCTTTCTGGCGGTCCCCCGGCCCTGGGATCGGCCCCAGGAGACGCACACACACACACACGCACACACCCACACACCCACACACCCGCACACCCACACACACACACGCACGCACGCACGCACGCACGCACAAACGAACACACACACACGCACACACGCACGTACGCACGCATGCACACAGCACACACGCAGACACGCACACACGCAGACACGCAGACACGCAGACACGTGCACACGCACACACGCACACATGCACACACCCACACACACACACGCACACCAAAAACACGCACACCACGCACGCGCAGACATACACACAGACACACAGACACACACAACACACGCAACACACAAGACACACACACAACCAAACACACACACACAACAAACGCACATGCATACACACGCACGCACGCACGCACACACAACACACAACACACAACACAGAACACATCAGACGCACACCCACATCCACACACACACACCCACATACCCACAAACCCACACACACACACAAACACACACCCACACACCCACACCCCCACACCCACACACCCACACACCCACACACCCTCACCCTCACACCCACACACCCACACACACACACACACGCATGCACGCACGCACGCACGCACGCACGAACGCACGCACGCACGCACGCATGCACACACACACACACGCACACACGCACACACGAGCACACACACACACGTACACACATGCACACACAGACAAATACACACGGAAGCGCACACAGACACCCACACCCACACAGACACACAGACACACACACACAGACACACACACAGACAGACACACAGACAGACGCACAGACATACATATAGACATAAACACGCACAGACACACATAGACACACACAGACACACAGACACACAGACAGACACAGCCACACCAAGAGATACACACACAGACACACACAGATACATACACACAACAGACACAACACACAATACACACACCACACACACACACCACACGCAACCACACACACAACACACAACGCAAACAACACACACAACATACACACCACACACCATACAACACACAGACACACACAACCCACACACCACACACACCACACACGCAGCACACAGCACACACACACATCACACCACACGCAACACACACAACGCACAGAGCATACACAACACGCACAATACACACAGACACACACACACAACACGCAACACACACACAACACACAACACATACAACACACACCACACAACACACAACACACACACACACACGCACACACCGCACACATGCACACACACAACACCCACACCCACGCCCACAACAACACACAGACACACACCCCCCCTCGACACACACACACACACGCACACAGACACACACACACACAGCACACCCACACACCCACACACCCGCACACCCACACACACACACGCACGCACGCACGCACGCACGCACAAACGAACACACACACACGCACACACGCACGTACGCACGCATGCACACAGCACACACGCAGACACGCACACACGCAGACACGCAGACACGCAGACACGTGCACACGCACACACGCACACATGCACACACCCACACACACACACACACGCACACCAAAAACACGCACACCACGCACGCGCAGACATACACACAGACACACAGACACACACAACACACGCAACACACAAGACACACACACAACCAAACACACACACAACAAACGCACATGCATACACACGCACGCACGCACGCACACACAACACACAACACACAACACAGAACACATCAGACGCACACCCACATCCACACACACACACCCACATACCCACAAACCCACACACACACACAAACACACACCCACACACCCACACCCCCACACCCACACACCCACACACCCACACACCCTCACCCTCACACCCACACACCCACACACACACACACACGCATGCACGCACGCACGCACGCACGCACGAACGCACGCACGCACGCACGCATGCACACACACACACACGCACACACGCACACACGAGCACACACACACACGTACACACATGCACACACAGACAAATACACACGGAAGCGCACACAGACACCCACACCCACACAGACACACAGACACACACACACACAGACACACACACAGACAGACACACAGACAGACGCACAGACATACATATAGACATAAACACGCACAGACACACATAGACACACACAGACACACAGACACACAGACAGACACAGCCACACCAAGAGATACACACACAGACACACACAGATACATACACACAACAGACACAACACACAATACACACACCACACACACACACCACACGCAACCACACACACAACACACAACGCAAACAACACACACAACATACACACCACACACCATACAACACACAGACACACACAACCCACACACCACACACACCACACACGCAGCACACAGCACACACACACATCACACCATACGCAACACACACAACGCACAGAGCATACACAACACGCACAATACACACAGACACACACACACAACACGCAACACACACACAACACACAACACATACAACACACACCACACAACACACAACACACACACACACGCACACACCGCACACATGCACACACACAACACCCACACCCACGCCCACAACAACACACAGACACACACCCCCCCTCGACACACACACACACACGCACACAGACACACACACACACACAGCACACCCACACACCCACACACGCACGCAAGCACGCACGAACGAACGCACACACGCACACACGCGCACACGCACACACGCACACACGCACACACGCACACGCACACACGCACACACGCACACAAACACACACCCACACACACACACGCACAGGACACACGCACACCACACGCGCACACACAAACACACAGACACACAGATACACACACCACACACACAACGCACACACCACACACACACCACAACACACACAAGACACACACACACCGAACACACACAGCACAAACACACATTCACATGCACGCACGCACGCGCAGACACACCACACAACACATACCACACACAACACACACACACCGCAAAATACGCACACCCACACACCCACACACCCCCACACCCCCACACCCACACACCCCCACACATCCTCACACCCACACGCCCATCCACCCACCCACGCACGCACGCACGCACGAACGCACGCACGCACACGCACACACGCACACACGCACACACACACACGCGCGCGCACACGCACACACAGACACACACAGACACACACACAAACAGACGCGCACACACAGACACACACAGACACACATACACACAGACACGCAAACAAACACACGCACACAGACAGACACACAGACACACACACACAGACACAGACACATACAGACACATACAGACACACACACAGACACGCAGACACACAGACACAGGCACACACAGTCAGACACACGCAGACGCACACAAAAAACACAACAATCACAACACACAACACAGGCAACACACATAACGCATAACACAGAACACACAACACAAACGTCACAAACCACACAATCCACATACCACATACCGCAGAACACACAACATACATGACACAACACACAGAACACATAACACATAACACAGAACATAACACACATACCACAGAACACAAACGACAACACAAACGACACACGACACACGACACACAACGCACAACACACAACACACTCACTACACAACACACAACACACAACGCACAACACACACACACGCACGCACACACAACACACACACACGACACCCAACATTCAACACACAACGCACACACCGACACGCACACTCACACACACGCACACGCACACACACAACACCCACACCAACACCCACACCCACACATACACACACACACTCGTCCATGACAACACATAGGGCAGACATCACACAACACTTCACACATGGTACACAGCACACCGCACATGACATGACACACGGAGGGGACGGCGGGAGCAGGAGAGGGACGGACCGAGAGCAGCGACAAACATCGGGACCTCACTTAGGATTTTCATGCTTTGGCGTGTGTGCGCGTGTGTGTGTGTGTGTGTGTGTGTGTGCGTGTGTGTGTGTGTGTGTGTGTGTGTGTGTGTGTGCGTGCGTGTGTGTGTGTGTGTGCGCGTGTGTGTGTGTGTGTGTGTGTGTGTGTGCGTGTGTGCTGTTTTGTTCTCTTCCTGGCGAGCCTGCGCGCCCCGCTCCCTCATCCAGGCCCACAGCAGCTCGTTCTGGGACGCGTCTCCCGACTCCTCTGGCCTCTTGGCGGAGGCGCGGGTGGTGGGGTGGGTTCCTCGATCCTCATCCTCGATACTCCTCCTTGATCCTCGATCCTCGATCCTCGATCCTCGATCCTCCTCCTCCTTCTCCTCCTCCTTTTTCTCCTAGGAGGAGGAGTCCCGATTGGGAATTGGGGGGAGTCCACCTCCATGCCCATGCCCGATCCTCGCCCCCGAAGGGTCGTGGGGCCGTTTTTCGCAGCGAGTTGTCCTCTTCTGGGTGGCCCCAGGAGTGCGAGAAGCCCTCCGAACTGGGAGAAACTGGCCGTCGCGCTTTCCTGCTTTGCTCGCGCCGCCCAAGGGTCTGGGAATTCTGCAGGTGCTGCCAGCGAATCTCGGCGGCCCTCCTGAGAGGGCCTCTGGAACAGCAAAGCGCGTGGAGAACCCTCAGAAAACCGCCGCAGAAACCTCCGAGACGACGACGCCCTCGACGCCGACGTCGTCAGCCAGGCGGCGCAGGTTCGTGCCACGACGACGTCTTCGTCGGCCTCTGACATCGTGCGGGTCGTTCAACCTGGAACGTGCGCGGCTGCCTGGCAGCCCGGATCTTTCAGCTGGCGGCGCTGGACCTTGAAAGCCCGCGCTGGGGTTGAGCACAGTTTAAGCGACCCTTATCGCTATGGACGTGGCCTGGGCCCCACTGGCCGATTTACCCCCCTGGATGGGGATATATGCCGCTTCCTTCGGGTTTCGAGTGGTATGTCCCCAACTGGGGTGCCGAGATGGTGGGGGTCTGGATGGGGATGGTGGTGGGGGTCGGTTGAACGATGCTGGGGGGTGACCGCCGTGTCAACTCGCGCGCCCTCCAGCCTGCCGCACCCCCCCCCTGTGGGAGCACGGACCGCCGAGACAGCGGCGGCTCTCCCCGCCCTCGCCCGCATCCGCTCAAGACCTGTGCTTAAGTCTGGCGTGTCCCCCTAGAGGGGGATTTTCGTCAAACATTGAAAAAGACTCACAACATACATCAAAATGGCACAAAAAACTTTACACATAGTCTCCAGACTATTTTTTGACTATTTTTGAATCTTCCTCTTGTGGAGGGACGGGCCCGACTTAAACCTGTGCCCGGACCCAGCCCGGGGTCCATCCTGACCCGCTCCTCCTCGACGCGGATCCAGCCGAGGCCACGAGGAGCCTCCCACGAGGCCAGCCAAAGAGGACGACAGGCGCCAAGAGCCAAGTCCCCTCAGCGTCGGCCGATCCCAGAGCCCGATGTCCTCGACGCGGGCCCGGCCGCGACGACGAGAAGCCACCAGGACGCCGCCGCAACAAGAAAACGGCACATGCCAGGTGGGGCCCCCGCTGTCCGGCTTCGCGCCGAGGGGGGCAGAGAGAGGGTGCAGGCCTTCTCACAGGCGGCGGGCTGCTCAGAAGCCCCCTGGCCTGCTGAGAGGCCGCCCAGAAGGCTGGAGCGCTTCCCAGAAGGCCGGGAGCCTTCCGAGCCTCCCGAGAAGGCCCGCCCTGCCAAGCCTGGCCCTCCTCTGGTGCGAGCCTCCCAAACGCGGACCTTGAGAAACCAGGGCAGTGGCGCGCCCGAGGAGATTGCAGCCGTGGGTCGAAGCCATTCTCCATGCTCCGTTCTCCCCTGGCGGAACTCTCGAAGTCTTGGTTAGCAGTGTCCTGGCTCAGGGGTCCAGAAGCCTCCCACATGGAGACCGAAAAGGTGGAGTCAGAGGATCGCGCCGGGTCGCCGATGCATCGCCGATGCATCGGCGAGTCGGCGGTGCATACGCGATGCTGGCCTGGAGGAGATCGGACTCCACATCGAGCCGTCTCGCCGATGCATTGGCGACTCGACGCTGTCCCCCGAACCCGTCTGCTCCGACCCCGTCCAAGAGTCCCATAATAGACAAGCGCGCTCCACTACTCGCAGAGTAACTACTTGCAAATGGTCTGGACCCGCTGCGGGGAATTCGCAATCCATTACATTTGCGCGCGGGCACTTGGCGAGTAGTGGAGCGCGCTGGGTGACAGACGGGCAGGAGAGCCCATAATCGAACCGATGAGTCGGATCGGCGATCGAACCGAATCGGATCGGCGGGCCTCGGCAGCCAACTCGGGAGATGTCGAATCGGCGGAACTCGGCAGGCTAGTAGGCCTCCGTTGAGAACTCAGAGCCCAAATCTCCCAAGTCGAATCGATTCGGAATCGGAAGCCATCGATATCAACATAAGAACACGCGGCATAAACATACACTCTTGGCGCTCCGCGCGGATTTCTCGGACCCGCGCTGGACTCCCCTCCCTGGCGCGCGGAGCGCGCCAGGGGCGGCGCCGCCGCGGGGGCCCCGCGCGGGTCCAAGACATCCGCGCGGAGCGCCAACAGCTTCTGCCTACGCCGCCTCTTCTCTTTGCGAGGCACGGAACCGAAGCGGAGGAGTCGAGCTGAGCCCCAACGAGGCCCCGAGACTCTAGGCTTTTCGCGCGACGCCCAGGGGCCTCTCCAGCGCCCTCGCCGTGCCCCGCCGCCCGCCCGCCCAGAGCAGTATACCGCCCAGCAGGCGGCACGGGGCGCGCGCGGGGCGGCCCATCGCAGGGCGGAGGAGGAGAAGGAGGAGGAGGAGGAGGCGGAGGCGGAGGAGGAGGCGGAGGCAGAGGCAGAGGCGGAGGCGGAGGAGGAGGAGGAGGAGGAGGAGGAGGAGGCGGAGGCGGAGGCGGAGGAGGAGAGGAGGAGGAGGAGGAGGAGGAGGAGGGAGGAGGGAGGAGGAGGAGGAGGAGGAGGAGGAGGAGGAGGAGGAGGAGGAGGAGGGGCGCGCGCGGGGCGCGCGCGAGCGCCTGCCAGGCCTGGGGCGCGGCGCGCGGGGGCCGCGGCGGCCTCGGTCCCAAAAGGCTCGATTGGGGGGAACGCTGGCGCGCGCTGGGGGCTGGAGGCCTACGCACGGGTGCCGTGCCTGCGTCGAGGAGCAAAGGGCGCCTCGGGAGACACCCGTGCGGCACGGTGCGCACAGGTCGTCCGCTGGAAGAGGGCAGGGGGAGCAGGGGCGCAGAGGCACCGAGGAGCCCAAAGTGGCATGACCATGCCCCTCTCGGAGCTCCGCGCGTGTTTCTCGGATCGGCACTGGGCCCCTCCGACGGCGGGGACCAGCCTGGGAGGGGCCATCGAGCTTGCGTCGGCGACGCGTCGCCCAGAGAGTGGCCATCTGTCCCGAGCGCACCTCCCCGGAGCGCTGCCCCAGCTGGCAGGAGCCCCCCCACCTTTCCGAAAGAGGAGCTGGCAACCAAGACGAGCACCCCCGCCCGATTACGATCGGTGCTGTTTTCTGACCGCCTCGGGCCGCGGGGGCCCCCGCGCGGGTCGACCCGGCCGGAGGAGTGGCGCCCGCGCGCGGGGCCGAGGGCTCCGCGCGTGGCCCTCTCGCGGCGGCGGGCCTCCGGGCGCCCGCGCGGCCAGGGGCAGAGGCGGCTCTCGCCCACCAAGCTCCCCCCCCCTCCCCCCCCCCGGAGCCCTCCCGTCCGCAGGGGAAGCGAGATCGGCGCGCGCAGGGGAGCTCCGAGAGGGCCACAGCACCACAGGGTGCAGCTCGTCGGAGAGCAGCCTCTCTCGCGAGGGGGATGGGCCAACACCCCCACGACGGAGCGCACCTCGAACACGTCGTGCCTTGGCCGGCAGCAGCAGGACTGAACGAGGGCCCCTAAAGAGGCGAACGCGCGAGGGCCAGAGGAAAGACACCACGGCGCTTGGGGCAGCGACCGAGCGAGGAACCGAGGCGAGAAACCCGCCGGGACAGCCAAGCAAGGCAAGCATAAGCAGGTGCAGTCTCTTACCTTGACTTTCGCAGCTACCTGGGGGGGGGGAGCGGGAGGTGGGGCGCTTCCCAGCACCCCGTGCCGACCCCCTCCTCCCCTCGCCTCCTTCGTGCCCCCCCCCCCCGCCCTCCCTCTCTCCTCCCTCGAGGCCCAACCACGCATGACACACGCGGACAAGCCAAAAAGCCCGACGCAGGAAGCACCTGCGAGTGGCCCCGTGGGCCGCGAGCCGCCTCAATCTGCAACTGCATTGGGGCCGCGGATCCAGCATCAGGGCCAGCTCATGGGGGACATAAGCCAGCCCCACCCCGCTAGGCCCCCAAGTGGCCCAGCGATAAGTGTAGACGGACGCTGAGACCGCCTCGCCTCGCCCCCACCTCCGGGCGGGACGTGCTCTGGGCACGCACGGGACGCGCCCTAGGTTTCGCTGGAGGACCCCCGTATGAATCGTGGTCTGCAGTGAAATCAAGCCGTCTCCGAGACCTTGCAGGATCTGGTCCGCCCCCCCCCCAGGACGTGCAAGCATGTGTGGGAGGGGCCCGACGTCACTTTGAAACATCACGTCCGGTTGGAGATAGGCAACCAGCTTCTCATCAGTGCCCACACGCTTCCCATGCTATGTTCGCAAGTAGGCGCGTGAGGGGTGTTGGAGCACCCAGGGCAAGCTTGGTGGGAAATCTAGGGCGCGCAGCTCTTGAGAATTGAAAACTTGACAGGGCAAGAAGACTAACTTTGGTCAGTGCAGATTCGGCCAGGTCAGGAAGTCCCCCCATGACTCTCCTAGCAGTTCGTCTCCCTGAGCTCCGAGAGGCCATACACGAAACTTGATGCGCTAGACGATGCCCCCACCACCGACATGTCCATCAAGTTTCGGAAGGAAAGAGTGAGGATGTCCATCAAGTTTCGGAGGAAAGTTTTGGAGGACGGCTTCGAAGAAACAATGTCCCCGAGCTATGTACGAGGAGATGGCCAAACCAGACAAATTTTCTTGATCGGGCATGGCGTGCCACTGACATTGATCAAGATATCACTGACCTTCCAGACGAATATTCAACACTGTTCCAGGCTCTGGACCCACCTGAGGACCCGAACTCGAGACCTGCTCAAGACCTTTCTGTGCTTTGCCCGAGAAAGACGATATCGTGACTCCACGTTTGCTTGCCCAATTGTCCCGGCGCTCCCACCTAGGCACTCAGGAGGAGAGAATCTCAGGACGACGGGGACGAGAAAGACCCGTTCTGCCAGAACGAGCACTTCGTCACTGCCGCCATGTCGGCGGCCGAGGCTGCACTGGGGGAGGCCTCTGGACCTCCTCTCCCCCCCTTCCCCTGCACCAGAGCTCTCAGATGAGCTCTGTTTGCCAGAGTAAGGAAGTTGCAGCGACACCATGCTGCCCTCGGTCCCAGCCCCGCCCTCGGCTCTCTGTTCGACCGGGGCCCCACTGCAGAGTGGGACCCGTGCTCATCTTCCCACACCTTCATCCGATTTCGTTCGGCGTGACACGGGCAACTTGTCGCCCCTCACAGGTCACGATACCGATGCCCTCACCTCCTCGTGCCGCATCCCTCCGTCGCCCCGCCCCCCTCGCCCCCCCCCCCTTCCCCCCTCGCCCCCCGCCCCCCTCGCCCTCTCCCCCTTCGCAGCGTGGACCGCCCCAGAGGCATCCCGAGTGGCTTCTCGACGGCCCCGGGGCCCGTTGAGGGCCCGCGGCGGCCGAGAGCGGCCAGAACCCTCCCGTCCCCCACGCGGGGCCACCGGCTGGCCGCTGAGCTGAAGGCCAGCTGGAGGCCCCGCGCCCGCGTGAACAGACGGGGGCCGCCCTTGGTGCGCGGGTGCCCGGCGGCGGCGGCCATCGACGTTCGTTGCGCCGACGCCTGGTGCGTCCTGGCCGCGAGCCTCCCTCCCTCCCTCCCCCTCGCCCCGCCTCCTCCCTTCCCTCCTCCCACCTCCTCGCCCCTCCCTCCTCGCTCCTCCCTCCCCCCCCCGCCTCCATCGATGCTCCCTAGCGCCGGCTCCTCCCTGTCGCGCCCCCAGACGTGTCGGCACAGCTCCCCGACACTTCTGTGGCACCCCGCTGCTGCGGAGAAGAATGAGGGGGGCGGGCGCGGGCTGGGTCGCGGGGCGGGTCTGCGGGTGGGTCGCAAGGGGTTCGCGGGCGAGGACGGCGACAAAAACGAAGAGACAACAGGAACCCGGGCCACGGAACCTCACCAGCCACGCACCCCGGGGGCAAGGAGTGACCGTTCGGCCCTCTCACTCTGATGATCCTCTTGCTTGGAAATCTGCAACCTCAAAGATGGAGGGCAACCGTTTTCAATATGAGGCTCTCGCCGTAGCGCCGCGTGCATTCATCTTACAAGGTTGCAACAACTTCATAGATGGGGGGCGGGCTATGTTCAAACTGATGATCTCAAGGAGCGCCGCGCGCATAAAGTTTGCGGCAGTTTCGAGGACTGGGGGCGGTTCGTTTTCAAATTGGGCTTTCGCCATTTCTCCCCGTACAGTCGTCGTACCAGCTTACAACAGTTTCAAGGATGGAGGGCGGCCGTTGCCAACGTGGGGCTCTGGCATGTCTTCTGCAACCATACTTTTCTGGCATGTTGTTCCAGGATGAAGGGCGGCCGTTTTTCCTGTGCCCACTCCGATCGTGCCGAGCACATCCTTCTGGATCAGCTTCTCACCCCGAGCCGCTCCTCCGTCTCTCGAGGCCCGCCGCAGGCGACGATTTTTCGTTGAAGCAATGTGGGTGTGTCGCGGGTGGGTCGCGTGTGGGTCGCGGGCTGGTCCGCGTTGGTTTTTGCTTATTTGCGATTGCGATTGGCTGCGCCAGGGCGCGCCCCAGGGCGCCAGGCGGCGGCGCCCTCTCAGCGATCGGTGGGCGATCGGGGGTCGACGCCTGCCCCCACGAGCCTGTCCCTTCCGACCTCGCCCCACGACGGGCCCCTCTTTCCGCCAAGGCGCTTCACCTCCTTGGTGCCTCTGGTCTGATGCCGAGGGGGCGCCCGCAATGTGTCGGCTCACACCTCGAGGTTGTGGATCGGCTCTGGCAAGGAGGAGGAGGAGGAGGAGGACGACGAGGAGGAGGAGGGGGAGGAGGAGGAGCAGGAGGAGGAGGAGGAGGAGGAGGAGGAGGAGGAGGAGGAGGAGGAGGAGGAGGAGGAGGATGAGGAGGAGGAGGAAGGCCCAGACCTCCGGCGGTTGTGACACGATCGCGACGGTCGTGGTCTTCCTCAGGCCCGGGCCTCCGGAGGCTCGTCCTCGGGCGCAGGAGAGGCCGCCAGGAGACGGCCCGGAGGGAACAGGCAGCCCTGAGGGGGCGCGTGCGGAGGTCCTGAGGGGCCCTCGTCGCGGAACGAGCACGACGCCGGATGTCTGGGGAGGAGGTGGTGGGGGAGGGGGAGGGCGGCCAGTACCTCAGCGGCCGCAAGGCATTGTAGCAGTCATGCGCCTCGTCCGCCGGCGCGAGGCGGTAGCGGTACTGGTGCACCCAAATGTTTACGGCGTACTTGACCACTCCGCCGGGGCCGACCGGCATGGACTCGTGCTTGTACCTCTCGTCCGCCGCAAAGGGGTCCGAGTCGAGCACGTCTGGCCAGAGGACCGCGCGGCCCTTCCGGGCGGAGACGTTGAGCCCCAGCCGCGGGAAGTGCGTCTCGCCTCCCTCGGGCACGGTGTTGAGGTAGACGAACAGGGTCAGCAGCCTGGGGCCGCACCGCGTGTTCAAGCCGTCGGGCAGGAAGTCGTCGTGCTCCCTGTAGTACTGGCCCTCCTCGTAGCGCAGAACCTGCAGGTGCTCGAAGTTCTGCCGCGCGGCGCCCAGGACGCCTTCGACCCTCTCCAGCAGGCGGACCACGCGGGGGTCGCGGCCGCAAGCCTCCGCGTGGCTGTCGTAGCAGAAGCGCTGGGACGACGTCCGCACGGACCTCGCCGTCTCCGCCACCGCGCCGCCCACGCCTCCGGTGAGGCTGCGAGCGAACTTCTGGGTGGACTGGGAGTCGTCTGCGAGCACCCGCAAGAGCTCGTCCGCCTCCGCCTCCGACAGAAACTCCTCCCCCGCGCATGGCGGCCACGCACCACCACCGGCCCTGACAAGGGCCGCCCTGGACCCCGGGCCGGGGCACAGGACCTCCTGGCCTCGACCAGGAGGTGGACGCGCAATCCTGGGGCTCGTGCTTTTTCGCAGCTTGGGAACCCGAAGTCTGGACCCCTTACTCGCTTTCCACCGTTGCGGTCGGTCTTTGACGGCCCTGCGAGCGGGTGTCGGACGGCGCCTGCGAAGTCCCCCCGGAGGCCGACGCTTGCCGCTCACCTCCCCTCGTGGCTTTCGGCCCTGGCCCCGCGCGGTGGTGGTGTGCAGCCGCCCAGTTGGGGATGCCTCGAAGACGATCAGCGACGGGTCCGCGCTCAGCAGGCGCGGCCCCAGCTGGGCAGAGGCCTGGGCGCGCGCCAGCAGGCGGCCCAGGTCTCCCGGCGCGGGCGCGAGGCCGCCGTCTCCGGGGTCGGGCAGGCACGGGTCGCCCTCTCCGCACACGCGGCACGCCTCTCGGGGCCCCTCCCACCCCGACACCAGGACGCTGCGAGGCAGGGCTCTGGAGATCCCACCCGGAGAGCACGCACAGCGGAGCACGCTTCGACCCCCCTGGCTGCCATTCCTTTCTTTCGTGCGCGCCAGCGCCCCCATTTGTCAGGGTCTCCGCTTCGGGGGCCCGGGGCCTCTCCGCAGTCCCGGGCCATGGCCCGGCTGTTCGTGAGGCACTCGCCGCGCAGCCACTGCATCCAGCACTCCTGCCGGGTGTTGATGCACCTCGTGGGAGAATCGGAGAAGGCGAGGCGGCACGAGCGCAAGCTTTCGGAAGTCCGCGCGGACTTCTCGTATCTGCTCGTGCCGGGTCCAGCGCCGGAGGCGCCGCCGGGGCGTCCAAGGCCGATCCAAGAGATCAGCGCGGCGCTCCGAAAGCTCATGATTATGCCGCGTTTTCTTCTTCGAGCCTCTTGGGGACCGCTTTGGAGCAGCTCTCGTAGCAAGTGCTCCACATGATGTCTGGGTTGTCGTCGCACTGGCCGCCCGCCGCGAGGTCGCCGCAGCGCGGCGAGAGGTCGCAGAGCTTGCAACTCTTGCGGCAGAGGCCCCGTACGCCTTTCCTCGAGGGGGGTTGGGTGGGGGGCACCAGGCACTGATACCTTGGCGGTCCCCAAACGGTGCGGTGACGACCGTGCGGTGATCTGGGGATCTCCAACGACCTCGCCGCACGGCCCGCCGCCGCACCGTGTTGGGACCTTGGCGGGCCCAGTCGCCCGAAACGTCGTCGGAGAACGACCCGGGTCCCCCGAACCGTGCGCTCTCCCCGCATCCCAGCCGACTTGCCACACGGTGTGTCCACCGCACCGTCCGGAGGCCGCCGAATACACAGCTGCTCACCGATCCTCTCCCCGAACTGCGCTCTGACCGAGCTCTCGAGACGGCCCTGGCCGTGGCGACGAGAGCCCCCTGGAGTGGCCATCGGCACTGGACCACCGATGCCTAGAGCAGGAGGAGCAGGAGGAGGAGGAGGAGGAGGAAGAGGAGGACGAGGAGGAGGAGGAGGCGGAGGAGGCGGAGGAGGAGGAGGAGGAGGAGGAGGAGGAGGAGGAGGAGGAGGAGGAGGAGGAGGAGGAGGAGGAGGAGGAGGAGGAGGAGGGGGGGGGTAGCTCGGCGTTTCGACCTTTCAGCACGAGTCCTCCGAAGTCCTCACCCCCATCCCTGCAATCTTTTCCATCACGGTTCGACTCGGTTGATGGCCCCATACTGCACGGAACGGCCCCCGAAACTCGGACAGATGGCGGCAGAACTCTTCTTCCCTGACTTTTCAGGGAAGCCGGGGCTGGGCCACCAGGGGAGGAGGAGGGAGGAGCAAAGGGGGAGGGATGATGAGGAGAAGGGAGGACGAGGAGGGTGAGGATGAGGGAGGACAGGGGACCTTGTAGAGCTCAGATGGGAACCTGAGCTAGAGGAATTCGGGCGCAGGGTGAAGCTAGTTGGGCGACCCGACCAGAACAAACTTTCTGACTATACCCGGGCTGGACTTCTGCAAGACTTCTTGAAACTCTGAAGCTCGTTTTGAGAATCCAGACAGGCACTTCCTGTGGGAGGAGGAGGAGGAGGAGGAGGAGGAGGAGGAGGAGGAGGAGGAGGAGGAGGAGGAGGAGGAGGAGGAGCGATCCCCAAACGACCGCCCCTGACTGCATTGGGGTCCCTCCGGTCTCCAATGCTCGCCGTCGCACTCGCCGGCCGCGCCCCACCTCTCGCACCTCTCGTCCCGGTCCGTGCAGTTCGCGCCCGGCGTGGCGGGCCCCGCCGCGAGCGCGGCCGGGCCGAGGAGAAGCAGGGGCGGCAACCGCGTGCGCGCGAGGGGCGCCCTGGGAGCCTGCAGGAGGGCGTCGACTACCGTCGGCCCGCATCAGAAGGATGCGCGATAAGGACGCAAGGGCCTTGGACGCCCACTTCGAAACTTTTCGAGCGGGGCGCGGCCAACGAAAGTGGCCAAGGATGGGCCGAGGAGGCAAGGATGCAAGGGGTACCCTCGGGAAGGTTGCCCATCCCTACTATGCGGGTCGACTGTGCAGTCCTCGTGCTGCTATACGGGGCGCCGGATCAGCGACTAGGGCGTTCCTGGCCTCGGCGAGCCTCGGCCACGAGCACAGTCGTCGTCGTCGTCGTCGTCGTCGTCGTCGTCGTCGTCGTTGTCGTCGTCGTCGACAGCGTCGTCAGTGTCGTCGTCGTCGTCGTCGTCGTCGTCGGCGGCGGCGTCGTCGTCGTCGTCGTCGTCGTCGTCGTCGTCGTCGTCGTCGTCGTCGTCCGGTGCCACCGATGCACCCACACTGCTCCTGGCCTGCCAACGATGCCCTCCCCTCCCAGAGTCCCGTGGAGCGGCGCTCTTGCACCCTCCCTTCTTGGCCAGGCAGGCACTCAGTGCACCGATGCTGGGCACAGCATGGGCGCGGCCAGGAACGGGTGCAGGAGGACTCAGCGCTCGGAAGGAGTGGGCAGAAGCAGCGCCGCTCCCTGGGACAACTGGAAACGTCCGTGGCTGCATCGTACAGAGGCAAGAACAGATGAAAGACAGAGAACCAACACCCTTCCGTCTTGCCAGCCTGGGTCCCGATGGCGGCCGCTACCAGGCCTAGCGGTGAGTCGCTGAACTAGCCCTCCTCGTCCCCTCATTCCCTCCCACCCCGTAGCGATGGGGTTCGGCGCCGTGCCGAGGGGGGAAGTGAGAGGGAGGAAGCCTTCTCTGTGGTGGCGGGGCTTCTCAGAAGGCGGCGGGGCTGCTCAGAAAATTCTCAGAAGGCGGCGGGCCTTCTGAAAACTTTCCTGTGTCTGCGGGGAAGGCTTAGACAACTTTTCAGAAGGCCCGAGGCCTTCCGAGCCTTTTTCAGAAGGCCCGCCCCTGTTCACCTCCCCCCAGGCTCGCCGCCGAGAGGTAGGGAGGCGTTCGGAGCAGATTGGGCTTCAGCCCGCCGCCTGAAGAAGAAAGACAAAAGAAACCACTCGGTTGTTGAAGCAGGAAGGCGCAAACCGTTTTTCTTGAAGTCTTGAGATCCAAACAACATTGGAGGCCTCACGAAAGGGAGTCCGAGTAAATGGGGTCGGAAGGACCACGCCGCATCGCCAAAGCATCGACCCCACTTGCTCTGGCCCCATCAGGGCAGGGAGGCCTTCACAAATACGTAGCACACCCCGTAACTGCGGATAAGAGTGTGGGGCGGGCGCGGTGTGGGTCGCGGGGGGGGGGTTCGATGACAACGAACGAACCAACCAATCAACCAACCAACCACAACAACAATCATTTTCAGACTATTCGCTCTTACTTGCTCGCGTGCCACTCAATACTTATATCCCAAACCCTCGATACCCGCCCTCATCGTCTTCGATCGTCCCCTCTGGTGGTATATTTTCCTCACCTGCTGCGTGAAATTGGTGCAGCTCCTAAGACAGGGGATGAGAAGAGGGATGGAAAGGGAGGAGGGAGAAAGATGGAACACTGGATAAGCAGGAGAGGGGGTTAGGAGCAGAAAACACGTGGCAAAACCAGACGGGCTGATCGGGCGGGTAGACCGTAACGGGCGGGTCGTGAAGGCGGGCCCCGGCGTCCAAGTCGAGCAGGCGGGTTGCCGAAGCGTGAGTAGTGCGGTCTCGAGCGTTAGCGCGATTCCCCAGGGAATCGCGAGACACACCAAAGCGAAAACTAGATTCCTGAGCGTCGAAAGCGCGGCTTGAATAAATTGCGAGGAGGTCCCAGGGCAGAGCGCGATCCCTGCATACATTGTGAGGAAGTCCCGCGCCAGAGCGCGATTTCCCAATACATTGTGGGGAAATATCAGGCGGGAGCCGTTGTTGTTGTTGTTGTTGTTGTTGTAACTCGGGGGCCAGGGAGTTTGACCTGCTAGAATTGCCCTGATTTTTTAAATAGTGCGCCAGCCCCGGGAGGGCAATTCTAAGTGGAAAAATAGAATGTGCCCCAGAGGGGGATCAAAAATAAATGATCAGCAGAAATGAAAGCTCAACAACGACAACAAGTCCCTGGGCCCAACAGCGCAGTTTGGTGACACCAAGCCTTCCCTATTAAAAAACCGCGTGCGAGCCCCAGGAGGAGCACCTTAATCGAATAAAGACAATGGTCACTGGAGGGCCCCCTGGCCCCCGAGTTACAACAACAGCGGCTCCCGCCTGATACTTCCCCACAATGTATTGAGAAATCGCACTCTGGCGCGGGACTTCCTCACAATGTATGCAGGGATCGTGCTCTGCCGTGGGATTTCCTCGCAATTTATTTAAACGCCGCGCTCTCGACGCTCAGGATTCGCGCTTTCGGCTTGTATGTTCTTGCGATTCACTTGGAAATCGCGCTGTCGCTCGAGACCTCCTCGCGATGCATGCAGCACTCACGCTTCAGCAGCCCGCCTGCTCGACCTGGCCGCCTGGACCCGCCTTCCCGAACCGCCCGTTCGGGTCTACCCGCCCGATCAGCCCGTCTGGTTCTACCAGGTTTTTTTGCTCCAAGCCTCCATCCTGCTAGTTTCTCTCGTGCTCCATGCTTCTCCCTCCCCCCTCCATCCGTCCTCTCTTCCCCAGCCTGGGGGGTTGCACTAAGTACACGCGGCAGGTAAGGACGATATACCTCCAGGGGGCTACGATTGAAGACGATGAGGGCGGGTATCGAGGGTTTGCTATACCGATACGATACGGGTGATAAGGAGGTTTTTGGGGGGGAACGGGGAGGCAATCGATGTGCGATGACTCCCACCTGCCACCACCAAAAGAATGCGCGGGCAAATAAATACCACCTACTTCCGGGTCTATCTATCGACCTCTACATCAGGTCAACCGTCGGGGCAACCATCGGGACAACCGTCGGGACAACCATCGGGAAAACCATCGAAACAACCATCGGAGCAACCATCGAGACAGCCATCGGGACAACCATCGGGACAACCATCGGGACAAGCATCGGGACAACAATCGGGGCAACCATCGGGAAAACCATCGGGACAACCATCGGGACAACCATCGGGACAACAATCAGGACAACCATCGGGACAACCATCGGGACAACCCTCGGGACAACCATCGGGACAACCATCGGGACAACCATCGGGACAACCATCGGGACAACCATCGGGACATCATCGGGACAACCATCGGGACAACCATCGGGACAACCATCGGGAAAACAATCGGGACAACCATCGGGACAACCATCGGGACAACGATTGGGACAACCATCGGGACAACTACTGGGACAACCGTCGGGGCAACCATCTGGACAACCATCGGGACAACCATCGGAACAACCATCGGGGCAACCATCGGGAAATTCATCGGGACAACCACCCTCACAACGGTCGGGACAACCATCGGGGAAACCATCGGGACAACCATCCGGACAACCGTCGGGGCAACCATCGGGACAACCATCGGGACAACCATCGGAACAACCATCGGGGCAACCATCACGACAATCATCGGGACAACCATCGGGACAACGATCGGGACAACCATCGGGACAACCATCGGGACAACCGTCGGGACAACCATCGGGACAACCATCGGGACAACCATCGGGACAACCATCGGGACAACCATCGGGACAACCATCGGGACAACAATCGGGACAACCATCGGGACAACCATCGGGACAACCATCGGAACAACCATCCGGACAACCATCCGGGCAACCACCGGGACAAACATCGGGACAAACATCGGGGCAACCATCGGGACAACCATCGGGACAACCATCGGGACAACCATCGGGACAACCATCGGAACAACCATTGGGACAATCATCGGAGCAACCATCGGGACAACCATCGGGACAACCATCGGGACAACGATTGGGACAACCATCGGGACAACCACCAGGACGACCATCGGGACAACCATCGGGACAACCATCGGGACAACCATCGGGACAACCATCGGGGGCCGCGCCTGGCTGGGGGGGGGGCGGGGGGGCGGGGGATCTTTTGAGCTCCATGTGGCCTGTCGCCCGCACGCACGACACGAACAGAAACCGAGACAGATTTCCCGGTTGGCGTCACTTCCGTTCACACCCCCAACCTCCGATACGTATTGAATGTCACGCGTGCAGTTAAGAGCGAACAGTCATCAAATGATTGTTGTTGTTGCTGTTGTTTTTGTTGCTGCTGTTGTTGATGTTGCTGTAATGTAAACAATGCACGAACTCTGGAAGGACCACTTTAGTTGTCCAACGCAAGGGTCACCAGACAGTGTAACAACACTCATTCATCTTCAGAACTCAACAACACCACCACCAATAACATCAGCAGCAACAGCAACAAGCATTTTACGACTGTTCGCTCTTACCTGCTCGCGTGCTCTTCAAAACGTATACCAGAAATCCTCGGTACACGCCTTCTTCGTCTTAGATCCTGCCCCCTCTTGGGGGTATGTCTTCCCTACCTGTCGCGTGTGGCTGGCGAAGCCTCTACAACAGGGGCAGGAGGGGAGGGGTTCAGGGTTAAGGGGGAGGGAGAAGGATGGAGCACGAGAGAAATTTGCAGGAGTAGGGCTATGAGCAGGAGCACGAGCGGCAGAATCAGCCTGGCGTGTCGGGCGGGTGGACCCTAACGGCCAGATCGAGCGGGCGGGTCGCTAAAGCTTTAACCCATTCCGAAGGAAGATTCGAGCCATAGCGCAATTCCAAAGTAAATCGTGATGACATCCAAAGCGAGAGCGTGATTGCTGAGTCTAGTCGGCACGGCGCCGCAATACATTGGGTGGAAGCGCAATGCTTGGATACATTATCAGGAGGTCCCGTGCGAGAACGCGAATTTGAAATACATTGTGAGGAAGTGTCCGGCGGGAGTCGTTGTTGTTGTTGCAAACTGGGGGCCAGGGGCGCAGTTTGGTGACCACAAACTTTCCCTGATAAAAAGCAGGGTGCAAGCCCTGGGAGGAACACATTACTTCCGAATATAAATCAATCACCGGATTGGGATCAACAGTACTTTTTCTTTAGACATTCAACAACACCAACAACAACAACAACGACGACAACAACAACAATAATCCGCGTCGCGGAATCGCACTTCAACCACGCTTCCAAGGATTGCCTACTACCGTTCGGCCCCCTGGATCTGACCCATGTGTCCCGCGAGCGATGGGTAACGCCATCGTGCTACCATAGGCTCCACGACCTAAATCGAAGGGACGACCCGCAAACCAGATCCACTTCAAGAGCCCAAAACGGTCCTCATCTCAGCGCCTTGAAAGGACGCCGAACGGTACCGGCACCGCTGCTACCTGGACCTCTCCCAGGGTGCGTTCTAACAGGGACATCGAGGCGAATCCAGCAGTGGCGGCGGGGGCACCCCAGGAGACCCAAGAAGGACGAACACGAGGCAGGGGCAGCGCTATGGGTACGGCCGGACCCGGGTCAGCAGACCATCCTTCCAGAGCAGGAGGCCCTCCGCCGGCCAACCGGAAGAACATGCGGCTGCACAAGAACGTCTTCGGCGGCGCGCACAAGGGGGTGGCGGGAGGGGGGAGGGCTTCTTAGAAGGAGGCTGCTTCTAAGAAGGCGCCGGCCTTACATCTATAGAGAAGGCCCGTGGCTTCTAAGAAGCAGGGGTGCTTCTGAGAAGCCCTCCCCCTCCCCCCCACCCCCCTCTGCGCGTGGCTGACGTCCGACAGACACGAAGCGCGTCAGGACACTCTCCCCGCACCGACCTCGATCTCCCACCTCGGCCCGACCGTGCCCTGCCTCCCTCTGCCAGGGAGACGTACGACTCGGGCACGGGGGACTCGGCCTGGCCCCGCGGGGCCATCGTGAGAATGGCGAGACCCAATCAGAACTTTGACGCGAACTCCCGCTGTAGACCACCCGCGAGCACTGGACCGTCAAAGCCCAGGACGCGCTCGTCGCAACGCGCGGGCAAACCCGAGTTCTGGCATGCTCGAGTCTTACGTTTCCGCGACTCTGACCTTGGCCGTATCCGTGGGCGCCTTCCCAGCCGGCGCGGCGGGCATGCCGCGCAGAGCCCCCCCCAGCGGGGAGCTGGCGCCGCCCGCCAACAGCGCGCCCGTCCGGGCGGCCCCGCTGGGGCGGCGCGGCGGCCGCGCGGCTTTTTTCCCGCCCCGAGGGGCGGACGGTCCCCCCGCTGGTGGGAGGCGCGCCCGCCGCGAGGGCAGCTCGGCCCGTGCCTGTGCTCAACAAGCTGGAATCTCACCGCGTATTGACAGATCCGTGGGGACTCTGGAGCTCTTGACTGATCTCGTCCTCTCGGATGTCCTGCGTGGACGCTCCAGGGGTCGTCTTGGGGCCGTCTTGGGTTGCCGGGAGCCTCCTGCGGGAGCCCTGCCTCAGAGGCCCCCAAGGCGGCCGCCAACGCGCTTCCTTCAAAACTGCCTCCAAGAGGCCCCGCCAGGCCCGCAAGCAGATCTCAAGAAGCCCACAGGAGCCTCCACACTGCCCAAGAAAGCCACGACGCCTCAACCGTGGACTCCACGCTTCATCTGGGGGTTGGCGGAATGGCGTAAGCCTCTTGAATCACCAGCCTCGAACTCATCCCCATCCCCAAGATCGACAGGTCCGACTGCCATGAATGACAATCTATCAAGGGTTGGCCCTCGGAAGCCAGGAGAGTCCTTGAGATCTAGAGGGGGGGCCAGGGTCATACAGATAACTTTTGGCGCTCCGCGCGGATTTCGTGGATCTGCGCCGGAACCCCCCTCCCTGGCGCGAAGAACGCGACAGGGGCGGCGCCGGAGGCGCCGCCAGGGGGGCCCGAGGCGCCGACCCAAGAAATCCGCGCGGAAGGCCAGAAGTTTATGTCTAAGCCGTTTTTTCTTCTTCGAAGATCGGCATCGGGATGAGGTCGGCGCCGAGATGAGGCGACGCCAGTCCGAGGGACGGGGAGGAGGAGGAGGAGGAGGAGGAGGAGGAGGAGGAGGAGGAGGAGGAGGAGGAGGAGGAGGAGGAGGAGGAAGAGGAGCTCCAGGCTGGTCACGGGAGGCGGCCGCCGGCCCCCAGCCGAGCGCGGTTGCAGGCGCGCGCGCAGGAGGGAGGACAGGGCGCGGTGCACGAGGCGGTGGCGGCGTCGGCGGCGCCTGCGAGGGGGCGGGGTGGCACGGAGCCTCCGAGGGGCTCGGGGCGCCTCCGGGGGGGGGGCCCCTGCGGATCCGCGGGCTTCCGCTCCACACGATGCGGCAAGCTCCCGGGAGGCCGCGCGGAGGCCGCGCGGGAGAGCCGCCGCGCCTATCCCCACGCGCCCGTTTTCCCCCCCGCGCCTTCTGAGTGGGGTTCTTCTGATTTCTCTCAGAGCATCCCCTGCTATGTCCCTCTCCTCCTCCTCCTCCTCCTCCTCCTCCTCCTCCTCCTGCTTGCATGCGCCTCCCACTGCACGAGTCCCACTTGCTCCTGCATGCTCTTCCCACTGCGCGAGTCCGATTGCTACGTCTTCCCCCCCGGAGGCCGTGTGGTAGCGCACGCCCTATCTTCACATCTTCCGTCCTTTCCAACCCTTTTTAGTTGGGTGCTCGTTCTGAATACAGCGCTGCTGTTCCCATCCTCTCCTTTCCAGTTCTCTCCCCTCCGCCTCGCTTCCTCTTTGCTTGTTCCTCGTTTACTCTTCCTCGCCCTCCTGCTGGGTTGCGTCCAACTGCGCCTCTGTCGCCACTCTCGTGGGGGCTGGGGGGTATAGCGGAGTGACGTCCTACGCAGATCCAAACCGTTGCTCCCCTCCCTGGGTGCTTCCAGCTGCGCGACCGTCGGCACTCTCGTGAGCTCGGGGTGAGTCCAGCGGGTTGCACTCTGATTCGGATCCAAAATGCCACTCCTCTCTCTGGGCGCTGCCAACCGCGCAACTGCCACCACTTCGATGGGCTTGCGGGAAGTCCCGTGGAGAGCGGTTTACTCTAATTCAAACAACTTCTTCCCTGCATGGGCGCCGCCAACTGCGCGATTGTCGGCCGCTGCCTGTGCATCCAACTTCCGAGTAGACACCAGAGCGGCTCAGCCTGAGCGCAGGAGGTGATAAGGCCTGGGGTTGACGCACGACGATTCGCCCCTGGAAGAAGTAACTCAGGCTACTCTCCACAGGTCCCCGGCGACGTGCAGGGCGATCTCAACACTCCCGCACTGCTTTCGGCGGCGCCCCCGCGGCGCTGGAGGTGTTGAGGCCGCCCCCGAATCCCACGGGGGAGGGCGAGAAGAATGCTATGATGCGGCCATGATGCGATGGGCCTCCGTGTCTGGAGTCCGCGCGGAACAATCGGAGAGCAAAGACATCCTGGAACGTACACGCCGTTCGTTTCTACTCGTGCTCGTTTCTGATGGTGCTCGTCTCTGATCGTTCCAGGCCCCCCAGTGGCCAGGAAGAGGCCCGGGATGGAACCAGCAGAAACGAAAGGATCTTGCCCCCCCAAAAAAATCAAGGAACTTCCGAGTAATTAAGAATCAACAATGTGCACCACCATCACGCCGTCCTGCTCCTCCGACGGCGGCCCACTGCTGGCAGCCGGAGCGCCACCCGGGGGCTGCCCCTGCGCAGGGACCCGGGCCTCTGGCCGCGAGGATAGGCGGGGACGTGGAGCCGCGGCAGCGAGCGGGAGGCCCCTGCCAGACCTCCGACGACGTGCTCCTCGAGCTATTTTCGGGGAGGGACGAGCCCCCTTTGGCAAAACGTGGTTGGGTCAGAACGGCCTCGGGCCCACACCTGGCGGGCGCCGGCCCGGAAAAGGACGGCCGCGGCGCCCTCCCGAGGACCGAGAACGGACAGTTCACGAATCGACGTGTCAGGGTGGGGGGTCTGTCCACCCCCGATATTTGCGCGGGCCCCGAGGGTTCTGGACCACTTCCCCGAACTATTTTCTTTCATCCTGGACAAATGTCTGACGGCGCAAAAGGCAGGAACGTCCTCACCACCCCCAAGGCGGACGAGACTGATGGAAAAAACTTGCACATATCGGAATACCATGTGGGACCTACTCTAGAACAGGGACATACCGTGGACCGATCTACCCTTTTCCGACCTTGTACTGCGACGAACGCAACGGCCGCGTTGTCTACAAACGCATCCGCCTCGATTGCGTCTACAGACGTAACGGCACCCAATGTGTCCGTAGACGCTTGTGGCTAGAATGTGAGAGAGGTATTTGGCCTAGGCCCGCAATACCCATCGGTCGGAAGAAGTAGGTAGAAACATAAAGTAGGAAAGCGTTGAAAATATATTGGCTTCCATCCGCCCCCTAAGGAGGACGGAAAAGGTGATTCTACTCGATCATTGAAGTAGGACGGCCCTTAAAAGTATATTGGAACCTGGGAATCCAAAAATACATACTTTCAACGACCGATGGGTACTGGTGATCGGGTCGACTGGGCCCTCCAATACAGATGGGACAACCACGACGTCCGAGCTTTGGTTGTCGGGCCTCAGGGTAAGAACGTCTCTCCTGGGGCGCGCCCTGGCCGGCACCTCGAGGGGATCACCGCCGCAGCGACGAGGCAGGGGTCGACCACAGCAGTATTCTTCGTTGTCGTCTCGCTGTCGCTTTCCCTCGTTTTGCCTTCGCTCCGCCTCTGCTGCAGCGCGAGGCTGAAGCGCAGACGGCCCCACGAATCGCAACAGAACGCCGTTCGGGCCGAGCCCTGCGGCGAGGACGCCCCCCCCCGGGAAGCTCCCGGGAAGGCGAGGAGCGCCCGCACACCTGGATCCTCGACCCGCCATCGCTCGGACACCCTCTCCCCGTGAACTCTTCGGGCACGTCCTCCTACAAGCGGATGTTGAAGAAAACTTTTAACACAGTCCAAACATATCCAAAAACAATCAGAAACTGTACGATAGATCGTCACCAAACTATCTTCGGACTATTCTTGAACATTCCGCCTGTAGAGGGGGACAGGCCCGACGCGAATCTATGTTGTCTCGAAGCCTGGACCTGCCTCGCTCCGCGGCGCGCTCCCCTCCCGCGCGCGCACGCGCGGCGGCTACACTTGGGGCGTTGACCCAATGAGCCCTTTAATCAGGAACGGGGCCTCTTTTTCCCATACGTTTAACTCAGATTTTCCATGGAAAACCTCAGGAAGACCCAAGGAGCACTATAACGCAACTAAGGAACACGGAGCCCCTCCCAAACGAAAAGGGTTCCTTCTTCCGCGCCCAGACTGCACGTCGGACGCTGCTCCCGGCGGCGGAGGCCGCAGGCCAGGGTCTCCTGCCGAGGCGCCCCGCTCCGCTCGCCCGAGGCTCGAGCAGGAACTGTGTATGGGATTAGAGTATAAAGGTACATAACCCCTGATCCGTAGGTAGAGATCTTTTCCTCCTGTGCGACCAGCGTCCTGGTCTCTTCCAGTACCTGAGCCGGTAAGGCAGGCAAAAGGGCGAGTGACGAGTAGAGATGAGGGTATGAGACGGGTTCCTTTCACAGGAACAAGCGGCGCGCACAGAAACTTGGGACGGTCCGCGCGAATTTCGCGGGCGTGCGCTGGGTACGCCTCCGCGGCGCGCGGAGCGCCATGGGCGGCGCCGGAGGCGCCCCCAGAGGGGGTGGGGTCCAGCGCAGATCCGAGAAACCGGTGCGGACCGTCCAGAATTTATGTTAACGCGTTAAAAAAAAATTCTCCCAACCCTCCTGTAGTGTTGGGTCCTCGTTTCGAAGAAGCGGTCCCCGCGACTCCTCCTCCTGTGCCCCCCCCAATTGGGTTAACTCATGCGTCCGCCACACCCAATACAACGCTTCGTGGCCCCATAGGAGCTCCACGTCAGGCCCCAGGGGGGGTACCGCATGCGTCTGCCACACCCAATACAGCGCTTCGTGGCCCCATAGGGAGCTCCGCGTAAGGCCCCAGTGGGGCTACCACATGCGTCCGCCACACCCAGTACAGCGTTTCATGGTCCCATGGGGAGCCCCACCCAAGGCCCCAGTGGGGGTGGCCACATGCGTCCGCCACACCCAGTACAGCGTTTCGTGGCCCCATAGGGAACTGCACCGAAGGCCCCAGTGGGGGTGGTCGGAGGCCCCAGTAGGGGTGGCCACATGCGTCCGCCACACCCAGTACAGCGTTTCGTGGCCAGTGGGACCGTCCGCATGCGTCCCGCGTACCCAATTTGGCATTTTCACCCACCCAGTACAACGTTTCGTGGCCCCAATAGGGAACTCCACCGAAGCCCCCAATGGGACCGTCCGCATGCGTCCCGCGCGCGCAATTTTGACATTTTCACCCGCCCAGTACAGCGCTTCGTTGTCCCAATAG